TGTATTGCCTGCCTGTAGGTAAGTGCACCTGTGTTGTGCAATGCCCACAGAGGACAGAAGAGGCTGTTGGATCCCCTGGAACTGGAGTTACAGACAGTTGTTAGCTGCCGTGTTGGATGCTGGGAATCAAACCTGGGTCTTCTGCAAGAACAGTCAGTGTTCTTAACCGCTGAGCCATCTCTCCAGCCCATGGGAGATATATTTTTATGCTACTGAGAAAATCCCCCCAAAAACATTAAGTAATTTAAACTCACATAACAAAAAATGGCAGAGCTATTGGCTGTGGCCATAAGGCTCTGTAATTTTAACCTTCTTTTATCTCAAGTGGAATAAGCATATTTGCTCAACTAATGTTTGCTGAGCACCTACTATGTGTCTTGGCATTGTTCTAACTGCTGGACTGGTCTGACTAGTTTAGGAAAACCTCGTTGGGGCTGGGCATGGTAGTGCACGCCTGAAATCTCAGCGCTTGGAAGGCTGAGGTCAGAAGATTGTGAGTGCCAGGCCAGCTAGGCTATGTAGAAAGGTCAAAGTGAATCTGAAACACATTAGTGAGACCCTGTTAAAAAAGAAGAAAGAAGAAAGAAGAAGAGAAGAAGAAGAGGAAGAAGAAGAAAGAGGGGCTGGAGAGATGGCTCAGCAGTTAAGAACCTACATGCAGGCAATACACATGCACACATAAAATAAAAATAAATAAAATATTTTTTTAAAAAGAAAGCTCCCCAAATACACACACACACACACACACACACACACTCACTCATGTGCACATACGTATAGCTGACTGGTAGGGATGTTCAGATTACATAGCAAAAACAGCGTATTGCATCTTGGGGAACGCTTTGCACCTGTGAACATTTTACGGCGGTGTGCTGGTATCAGAGAGCAGAAGCTCTGGCCTGATGTGTAGAAACATCTCTCCCACACACAGTGTTACAGCTCCCAAGAATTACACATCACACACACATGTGTGTGTGTGTGTGTGTGTGTGTGTGTGTGTGCATGTTATAAAGAAAACCCGGTTGCTACCTAAATGTCCATGTAAAGCAAGCACATTGCACACTTGGCTGAATGTGTGAGGACTGGCATCTGAAATACCCGGACTCTGTGCTGGCACAGACGTGTGCTTAGACAGCAAACCGAAGAGGGAATGACAAGGCATATGGACAAGCCAGTGATGTCAAGACAAAACATGCTGCCCATAGGGTGCCCTAGAAAAAAAATCTGGCTGGAAATGTGAGAGTGTTGGCTGTGAGTCCTCAGAGTGCTGATACTGTAGGGGACTTTCGCCTCATCTGTTCGCACTTCTGGATTTCCTAAAACAGGTAACTTGTGTACTAAATAATCTAACTCTAAAAGACAGGAAAAATATACTGTTTGGAAAATAAGAGACAGGGTGGAAAGGCATGGTTGCCCGGGCTCAGGAGAAGTCAGGGAGCCTTTGAACCTGAGGATGAAGGTTTCTATCATAATTCTGGGATGTTAAGCAAAAGGCACTTCAGAAACCATCCAGAGGGTAAGTCTGTGCAGTACAATGGCACTACACTGGAGGGAACATTTTTCATTTGTGAAGAACTTCATTATTTTGACTTTTTTCCCCCTTTAAACTTGTTGACTCCAAAGATGTGCTATGTACAAGTGTTTCACGACAAAGTTTCCAACAGATAGTTTAAACAGTTATTTTTACAAAAGCAGCCTATGCAACAATTTTTAGTCAGAAATATAGTATGTTGTTATGAAGTTAACATACCTGCTCTCCTCAGAATTTCAAAGGGTGGTGTAAAAATTGAAACACTTTGTCAATCTAGCAACAGCTAATATAAACTGTGCTTATAAATAAGAAGCCATTTCCCTGCCTGATATAAAACTTTTAAAATTAAAAGAATTCTTTACTGGATTAGTGTTCTGGCTACATGACACGTTTTCTCTCAGGATGTTATTGTTAACTCCCTATTTAAATTTAATAAGTACTTCATGGTGACATGAATCATTATGTAATTATTAATGTTCATTTTCCATGAATATTACATAAAGTAAAATATTACATTGCTCTATATTGCTTTCGGCTTTAATAGAAGCTTTGTCAGCGCAGAGATTAAATGCTGTTAAAATTCTGAGGCTAGTTAGAAGCAAAGTATTTTAAAATGTTAAAAAGTCTAAGATGAAGATCAATATTCTACCAAGACACAAAAAAGACTGTCAGACTCACTGATCATCTCTAAAGAAAATGAGATACAGGAGCAAGAAGACTGAAGCCATCATAAAGAATATTGTTTTTAACAAGAAATATGATTATTTAAAGTGGTATATTTTAGAAAATGCTTAGGACTCAATCAACATTTATTCTTTGTTCAATAGTAAGAATCACAGGGTTTACACAGAATAGCTTTGTATTTGTGCCCCTTACTGCTGAGGAAAACACACGTGGAATTCTTTTCCTTGAGTAAAGAGAATCTTCTTCCAATGTGTGCAAAAGTGCCTTCTGTGCCAATAACACCTTTGACACATGAGACAAGGCACACTGTGAGCTTTTTGGCTATTGATATGCAATTGACACAAGTTAAAATATTGTGTGAGAAGTTGTGTCAGGGCAGAGCCAAAGCTCTCCAGGTGAGGCCAGTGCTCCCCCCCAACTCCACCCCCCACACATAAAATATTGTCCTGAGAGGAAGGGGAAGGACCTCCAGTCATGGCGGCCAGGAATCCCTTCGTCTGTGGATCAACGCAGCACAGGTTGTCTAGCTGGCAGCTGGGAAGATCATGGGGTTGGGTCATAGTTCTTTTTCCCTGAACCATAGTTAGACTGTGTCAAAATCTAGGTTGTACTTAATGGCCTGGTCCAGTTATACAAATGTTATTAAACCTGTCAAATCAAAGAGAAGACTGACTACACGAGATATCAAATACCCTCAACCTGGATAGGAGGAAGTCATGGATTATTTCCCAGGCTCTGCCACTCCAGCATAGATAACCATTTACTGACTGCCAAGCACTTCCTGTGGGGTATTTTCCTCCTACATGGTGCATTTTTAAGAGTCAAAAGAGCCAGGCCTAAAAATCCTGAATTCACAGAGGAAAAGCCATGGCTTGCAGAAGCAAAGGCAGAGCTGCTGGTTTATAGCCCAGATCTTTCCGTTTCCTTCCCATTCAGTCAGGAGCTAAACAGGCAAATATTTTCAGATGTGCGGCAGCCACCTAAGTGGACCCACTGGAACTCAGAACCGTAGTGGGTGAGAGGAGCCAGCCTGTCTTCACGGTATACAGTCATGGCAGAAAAGCACACACAGGGCCCTCCCTAGGCCTTTCTCTGCACCTGCCTATATCTTGAGGTATGCTTCCTCAGTAAGCCTCAGGATCCATATGGTACAAGCCCCAGGCCTGGGCTGCTCATGTGGGAGGGGGATGAGGAGGCAGGAACTGGGTCAAGCAGTGCCCATATTGCCAGTCTGACCCCATCGCTCCTGCTGTTTCTTAACTGCTATCTCTGTGGGACCCCCAAAGTGTTTGCTAGTACCAGTGGGGAGCAATGGCTCTCTCTGAGACCCCCCTCAGGTGCTGCTGCCCCAGCAGTTGAGGCAGGCTGGCCTGGGTAGTCCCTCCATTCTAATGAAATGGAGGGTTTGGTTTTAAGTGGACACTTTCAGTGGCCAGGGTTATTTTTAGAAAATGATTTGCAAACATTCCCATTCCCTCATTTCCAAACCAAAATTACATCCTGTGGCATTTCTCAAAAATCCTTTTGTAAATATCTTTTGTGGAAACATTTACCCTGCACATTAACCAAAGCCATGGGATTTAAAAGATAAAGCAGATCTGGAGTTTACACAATGTAGAGTCTTTCTGGAAATTCTTAATAAAAATCAGATGCTCAGAAGATCTGCCAAGTTCTAGACATTTCAGGTGAGTGCCAAGCTCACCTGGAATTTCAATTCACAGACCTGGTGAGGAGGTGGCCCTGGGGGTGGTGAGGGGGTTACCCCCCACATGACCTCACTGTCAAGGTCTTACCATCCTATTAGCATAATCTTCCACAAGAAGCACTAATTCTGTAAGTTAGATGTCAGTGTCCCTGGTTTCTGAAATTGTTAGCTGACTATGGACTTGACTTGCTGTGCGCTGAGAGGTGTCTGGATTTTTTTTTTCCTACAGAAGATCCCTTTGGGAGATAAAACTGAAGATGAGTTCAAGCATCCTTTACAGAACTGAATCACCACAGATTTATAAACTTGGAACCTTTACAGTCTGTGGTCTGGAACTGACTGTGTTCTGACTAATCTGAAAAGAAACAAGTTCAGCCTCTGAACAGATTCACTAAACAGAGAGAATAAAACCAATGTGCCATGTTCCAAAAGTTAGACTAAGGCACACGCTACGCAGATACGCACAGAAAAACTGACCTCATCTACCTAACACATTCCTAAAACAAGCTGTTAAAAGGCCAAAAAGTAGCTTTCCTGAGTAGAATGCTACTATAAGTTTCACAGATATTTATCATATCCATTGTAAACTAAACTCATAAAAACTTCAAAGTTGGGAGTAAGTGTAGGTCATGAAACCAGAAAGCAAAATGGTTTGTATTTCTAGTGTGAGCTCACTATTAAAAATAGTCTTCGAGTGAGTGTAAAATTACAACTTTCGACCCATTCCATTCCATTTCAGAAAATATTGTTGATGAGTTTCAAGCATTCTAGTAAACTTAATCTCAAGCCTAATATGGGGAAGTGTCTAGAGATGGAAGGTACTCCACTTGGGAAATGAGATCCTCTTCCCAGACTCCGCAGACTTGGTAACTAAGCAATTTCTTAGAAAATGCTTATCTGGACCACAGTTTATGTGGCCTATGACTACCAGCTGTCCTGCAAATTAACATGATCTCAGAAGGCCTGGTCCTTGCACAGGAGTTCAGTTTGTCTGCATGCAAGAGATGGAGGGATGGTCTGTCTTGTATCTCAGGATGAGGGTAACGAAAGCTGAAGGTCCAGCCAGCAGGAGACCCTTACCTCTCACTGTTCTTCTTGCCACTGGAGGAACTGCTGGTGGAGCCTGTGCGGTTCCGACTTCCTTTGGAGTCCCCAGAGCTCTCTCTCCGGCCACCAGGAGACACTCGCTCAGAAGAGCTGGTCCGATTGATGCTACAGGGAGGACAGACCAGAGGAGAATGAAGCCGACATTGACTATCCTGAATATATGGAGGGTACACACTGCTTCATGGACATATGAAAGACAGAAGGGTTTCAAAATCCTGACTATAGAAATCAAAACACCCCCACAATGTATATTGGAATCCAAGCCTCTGTGCACTGCTTTTGTGACTGAGGCATGCAGTAGAGTTCAGAGTCATGGAGGAAAGTGAATCAAAGACTACCCGCACGCACCCAGTACACTGTACGAGAGCCTTGAAGGACAAGAACCTGCCCTGGAGGATGCTTCAGTCCAGACCAGTGGCACTTAATCAGGGGTGATGCTGACTCCCCAGAAAACATTCGGCAACACTGGGAGGTGTTTCTGATGGCCACAACTCGGGGGCTGCCACTGACATGTGGTAGGTAGAAGCCAGAGAGGCTGCTGACCACCCAGTGATACCCAAGATAGCCCACAACAGAGGCAAACCCACTTGCCAATAGTACAGATATTGGAGAACTCAGCGCCCCTCAGAAAAATGCAGATGGGATGCCACAGGTAATGGCAGAAGTTTCCACCACAAGCATAAGGCCTTTATTTCAGCCGGTGCCCATGTAAACACTCAGCTTGATTCCACAGAACCAACAGAGTAACGGATGGTTGTTAGCCACCATGTGGGTGCTGAGAATGGAACTTGGGTCCTCTGCAAGAACACTCAGTGCTCTAACCACTGACCCATCTCTCCAGCCCCTTGATTATATTTTCAATGTGAAAACTCCACTTCACATAAACATGTAGTACAAAATGGCAGAAATAGGTCTAGGCCATATCAGAACTTGTTGGAAATTCTATTCTAATCCTAAGCCAAAATTAATTTAGTGATTTATGAAACTCAAGTCAGCAACTCAAACAGAAATTTTTAAAATACCATTATTTTTAATTATGGGTATGTGCATATGTGAGTGCAGTGCCTGTGGAAGCCAGAAGAGGGTATTGGATTCCCTAGAGCTGGAGTTACAGGCAGTTGTCACCTGCCTGGTGTGAGTCCTGGGAACCCAATTTGGGTCCTCCCTCTGTAAGAACAAAAAGTGCTCTTAGCCACTGAGCCATCTCTCCAGCCCCAAGCAGCAATTTAATTTTTAAATTTTAAAAATATTTACTTATTTTTATTTAATGTGTATGAGTGTATTAACTGCATGTAAGTGCACTCATGTCATGCAATGTCCGAGGAGAATAGAAGTGGGTGTTGGATCCACTGGAACTGTAGTTATGGATTGCTGTTACACACCATGTGTGGGTACAGGGATTCAGACTGGGGTCTTCTGCAAGAACAGGCTCTTAACCGCTAAGCATCTCTCCAGGCCCCTGACTCTCCATCTTTCCTCAGCCATCAACTGCCTATAGCATGTCATTTAGAGGTGGAACCTTGTAAAATTTCCCTCATCCCTCTTAGCACACCAACTGGTGTCATTATCTAGGTCTTGTTTAGGCAACCATATTGTTGAGCCAAACAGCAATTTTTAAAATTAAACATTCTAACACAATAGAATCCAAAGATGTGTTATTATATACTAACATGCTGAGGAATGACAGCAAAAGAAAATCTTTTTCCCATGTAAACCATCATGTTTCTGTAAGAGCAGGAAGCTTTGTGTGTTCACAAAAACACTGCAGTCCACTGCATTCAATAGTGTTGAATCTGAGGTGTTTCAGGGAGCGTTGTTGGCACTGAGTGGTGTGACAGCATACAAAGGGGAAAGTGTGTACTTTGTGTGTTCAGAACCAAGGCTGCCGTGATGTCACAGGATGCAGCATGGGTGAACACCACCAGGAACATCTTGGATTCACTGTGCATTTGATTTTGAAGTAATTTTTGGATGTTGGCTGTTCAGAAATCTTTTATTCTTGCCAAATTTTTCATGACCCCTTTATTTAGTTATGTGACCCAATATGAGGTTGTGTAAGAAGCTGTGGTGTAGGCAAGGGCCCTCAATATATGCGAAACCCACAGGCCCAAGGCAGAACCAAAGAAAGGTGAAGTCTGAGAGACCCTCCCAAAGTATCCAATGGAATGAAGGTCATGTCCTCCAATCTTCATCTGTTGAAACCCTGGTTCTCAACTCCATGTCACAGTTCTTAGAGGGAAGTAATTAGATCAAGAGGGAGGAGTCCTTACAGTGTGGTTAATGCCCTCATAAAGGGGCCCCTAAGAGCCCTCTCATCTCTGTTCACCACATAAGGACACAGTGAGAAGTGACAGTAGGTGACAGAGAGGTGGTCTTCACAGAACCTGGTGCATGAAGCCTGCTGGATGACTCCAGCCCCCAAACCACAAATACCTACTTCCTTTCCTGTGGCTTCTCAGCCACAGACTTGTGTGGCCTGTGGTACTGTGGTATAGCAGCCCAAGCTCCTGAGACAGCATGTGACTGCTACAAGCCTCCCTGTGAGTTCCTTCCTAATAGACCGACTTAGAGATCTTATCAGGTCATCACATTTGCATACTTTACAGAGCCTCATACAGACAAGACAAGATGAAATAAATGGGTATGTAATGACATCTCATCCTTTGACCCTAGAGCAGGGTCCAGCTGTTCTGTTGTCACATTTGCTTATCTGTAAGAAGGAAGTTGGGGTACTCTGGGGGCCAGGGGAAGAGGTGCTGGGCTTGACTGGACACATGGAGCCCAAGAGATGGCAGGTGTCCATGCAAGTATGCTACTCCTGCTGTGTCTTGGGACAGGACTGTCCATCTGGGGTCCACTGAAGGACCACCAATGTCGAGGAGGTCACCAGGTGAGGCAGCAAGGAAGGAGACAGGAAAATGAGAGGAGTCCTCAGGGAAAAGTGATCCTTCAGGTTAGGGAGCTACTGTGGCAGCGGGTGGCAGAGACAGGGCAGAAAGCCAGTGGCAGGGCACAAAGAAAAGGGAGGAAGTTAGGGCATCTCAGGAGGTAAAGGGGCACGCCCCATGGAGGGAAGAGATAAGCAACCAGTCTCATAAAGGAGTGCACAGGAGCTAAGGGACTAAGACAGCCGTGGCTGAGCTCCATGGCTGAGTGAAACCATGGGTGCCCCCTGCACAGGCACCCGCTGCGCTCTCGGTCCCCTTCTTCTCAGTGTATTCCTATCAGCCCAGCCTTCCTCAGCCTATTCCTTCCTGAGACCAGCCCTTGGCCCTTTTCCTTGGTAACTTCTAATCATCTTGGTAATAACCTCTTGGCATGTTTGTAAAAACCACTTAATATGCTGCTGGCTTTTGAAAGATTATCCCGTACTCAGAGTGAGCACATGTACTCAAAGTGAGCAGGACCAGGATCATTTTCACACATGCTCTACAGCCCTTCTGGTGACTGAAGAAGCTTTGAATTTGCATCACTAGCCTCTCACAAGTGGAGTCTGAATGGGTGTGCCTGAAGGTCAGTGTGTGGTTTGCTTTTTTTTTAGAATGTTCAATTTGGGGACAAGAAAATTACACAGTTTAGGACAACATGACTTTTCTGAAATCCAGGATTACAGTTTAAAGATCATAGAAACCTTTCTGCCTGGAGTTCACCATCTTCCCGTGATAAAAACAGCAGCTGATGTAGCTCGCACGCACATCATCTCTGCCAAGTACAGTGCAGACTCGGAAGCTCTTCCATGGGACCAGCTGGAAGGGCCCTGGGAGACTCTGCAGTTGCAGAAAGTGGCCCAGAGTGTCATCCCTGCAGCGTGCTTGTGGGAGTTCATGGCAAGTTCACGGCAATTACAAGAACTGTATAAAACACCTTACAAAGCAGAGAGGCTGTGACTATTATTTTTCAACCATGGCAAACACTAACCAATTTTCAAATGAAAACTCAGCCTGGTGCCTGGAAGAGGTGATAGGGTGTCAGTGAGGGGAAAAGCAGTGGCTGTTTAACAGGAACTGAGAGTTCTGCATCTTACGTTGATTATTTCATTTAAACTTCACACACTCTCTGCCAAAATATCATTGTCCTTGGCAAACAAATTGGAAACAAATTGAGGGATAGGCAGCAATTTGTCTGAGGTTCCAAAAGTGTCTGGGTTGATGGCTGTGGCCCACGCCCTCTCTACTAGCCATCTCAGTCTCCATCAGGGACTATCAAAGGAATTATCTTCCCTGTGCACACAGAAGAACACCAGGACTTGTTGGGTTTCTACAAATCCAATATATGCCAGCAAATATTACAGCTGCATGACTTAAGCCACATTTGAGGCCCTAGATAAGGCCATTAAGCCATTAAGCCACTGTGCTGGGAGGAGGAGCTAGGGTTACAGAGAACACCTAAACTCACTTCACCTTGAAGTTTATCTAGGCAGAGCTATTTTGCTCATGTGGAAGAACAGAAGGAACATGAGGATCAGGTGAAAAGTGTGGGAAAGTATTCTGATAAGCTTTGGTAAATTACAAGATGCTAACATCAGAATGGAAAGGCGTCATGTTTTGTCTACACAGCTCAGTATAATCCATCACAGCTCTTTCAAGACGTTTGTCAAGCCCACATTTGCATTAAAATGTTAAACTTTAAAAGTTACTATTGTCCTGGGGGCTGGAGAGATGGCTCAGTGGTTAAGAACACTGGTTGTTCTTGCAGAAGACCTAGGTTCGAATCCCAGCACCCAAATGGCAGCTAACAACTGTCCGTAACTCCAGTCCCAGGGGATCCGACAGCCTCTTCTGACCTCCGTGGACATTGCACGACACAGGTGTACTTACCTACATGCAGGCAATACACACATACACTAAATAATAAATA